CTGTTCAATGATTAGGATTAATTGGAATGTATGTACCTGACTTTTGTGAAGTGCCTTGAGACAACATGTGTTGTGAATTGGTGCTATATAAATAAACTGAATTGAATTGAATTGAATTGAATTGAATTGAATTGAAGTAGGGATGAAGGGGAGGGAGAGAGATGAGGTTGTAGGGATGGGGTAAGAAGCGATTGAGGGTTGGGGACCGTGGGGTTGAAAGAATGTTAAAGACTGTGAGGTATGGCTGAAATCGGTATAAACTGCATATATATAAACTGAGTATAAACTGCAGGTTAATTAGAGGTGAGGTTTGGGCGTGGCCCTTCTACCGAACCTAAGAGATATGAACATATGAACTTAATTTCTCAATAAATAAATAAAAAGACAATGCACAAATTTCCTTACTTGTGCCAAGTTTAGTTTATTTTCCTCATCAGCGAAACGTTTTGTAACTAGAGGTCACTCCAACCACTTCCTCTTAGACCAGGAACATATGATATGAAGATAGAGTGTATCCTATGGTGGTTGCCTACAACTACCTCTTGCCAGCAATGGATGATATGAACTTGAATGGTTTTTGGATATAAGATTTAAATTTTCTACTAGTGAACCAGATTAAGAGACATGAAAATATTGATTTCAGATAATATTTCTACATTAGGTCAGGGATACACAAGACAGATTTTATGACTTTTATGTACTAATATCAAATTACTGAACTCCTGTTTTAAACTTTATGTTGCTACTGCCAGGTTAAAATTAACCTGTTATTAGCCTAAAATGTCTTTGACTTATGTCCATTAGTTAAAGTCCCATTGTAGAGGTTTATTGTTGAACCCTCAAACAGGATGAAAACCAGCAGCCATCAAGAAGACCATATGATGGAAAAACGGAACAGGGTGCAGCAGTTTTTCCAGAGGTCTAAATGTTTTAAATGTTTCCTTTTCCCCACGACCTTTTTACAGTTTTAACAACTCTCATCAGGTGCAGTTTGTGATACCAAGGTCACAGCAACGACAGTTTAGGCAGGAATTCAGCTTTTTAAAACCCCACATCACAGCCAACCCTCAAATACACTATCATTTACCTTTATGAGATAAAGATGAATTTAGTCGCCTAAATAGTTCATTTACAAATAAAAATATACAATTTGCTACAAAAAGTATTTAAAATACACAATATACACCTGACTACCAACTAATACAGATTAAATATTATGCAGAACAAACTGAGTGAAATCAACCTAAAACTTCAGTCCACTTCAACCCTCATCTTTAGCTCAATGATTTATCCTAATCAGGTGGATGATTAGGAAATTCCCTCTAGGTGAAGTCATTAGACTGCATTCCATGAATCTTGCCTTCAAGAAGTTGACCTCAAAGAGAGAGAGGTTAGTGGTCTTTGCAATAAAAGCATAACGAAACAAAAACAAACTTTCTGTCAGTCAATGTGTGTGTATCAGTGTGCAGTTTGGGTACCACACTGCAGCAGTAAGTCAGCTTGGTCAGGTGTAGAGTTTTAAGGCTTCAGGGAAGGTCATCTGAGATGTGGACCCCTAACAGTTTACAGCTGCTGATTGTTTCTAATTGCTCGGCATTTATGCTAAGTCTTGGGTAGATTGTTCTCCTTTCCCTGAAATTAAAGATCACCTCCTTCATCTTCTATGTATTCAGGATCAGATCGTTCTCCATGAACGCAAAGTAGCTGATCTTCAAGCATGAGAACTGAACCAAAAGGTGAAGATGACAGCATTCAAGATACCTCACTGCCTCTATTGCTGCTCATAGTGGGAGCTTCTTGTTAAAGAGCCAAAAACAAAAACTATCATGCAGTTACTGTTGTTACAGCATGAAATTGTTCAGGTGGTTTTGTCTGCTTTCAAAGTGTAGTCAAAGTGAAACAAACCTAATTAGGGTCAGCCGGTTTATACCATCCCTCACCTTACTGAACCAAGTACCCCAAACTACCTTTAAGGGATTAAGTAACAAAACCTGGATTGATAGATTGCTCATCAAGGTAAACAATAAACAAATATCCTACTAATGAGCTTCAAAAACGTATGTGTATAAATAAAATATGAGTCATGTCCAACATGTACTGTAGATTATGTGTAAAAGCATGTTATGGGTCAGGCATGTGTTTGTCCATATGGAGGTGTCCATATGGAGGTGCCAAAAGACAGACAGACAGGTGATTAGCTGCAGTAGATTGTGACGCTCATGTTTAAATGAATATCAAATGACATTTACTACCATCAATCACCATTCAGGCACACTCTGCAACCCATATTGCAATCAAAGCACATAATGAAGTGGCAGCAATGCTGTTATGGATCCTGCTGTCCACAGGGGCTCGTCCCACCTGGTAAATATGGAAAATGGCTTGTACTTTTGTGCCAATATTTTCAGTCCATAGAGATGCAGGATGGTAAAAATTAAACCCTCTGTCTATCGATCTCTGTAGTCCAGTGAAGAAATACAGCTCTAATCAAAAGGTTATGCAGACCTCCATATATATTTTGAAGGAGCTTTCCCTGTCTAAATGTTTGACTGGTACTGTATGTATGAGTCTGTTGAGCATATAAATATGATCTAATCTTAGCTACAAAACCAAAAAAAAAAAAAATCCAATCATGACTGAAATTGCTTTCTATTCATTTCACATCCACTGCTTCTCTGACGGTATTGCACAAATGTTTACTATGGTGTTTTACTGCTGGATCGTTTGTTTCCTGTGATCTCCAGGCATTTCTTTTCAATATTTGATTCATTTAAGAACTTGTAAAAGCAAAGCATACGTTTGCTCAAACTATGAGAGGAATGTGGTGTTGGGATTTCGTGTGGAGTTTGTGTTACTTTTTTTTTTTTTTAAAGATATGTTTTCTGCACTAGTGGCCTTTTATTATTTTTTTGACAGTAGGTAGACAGGAAAGAGGGGTAGACATTCAGCAAATGTCACTAGGTCTGGGACTCGAACCCAGGACAGCCGCTTCGAGGGCTGTAGCCTCTGTATATTGTTGCACGCTTAACCCCTACACCATCAGTGCCACACCCTGTTTCTGTTACATTTTAATGAGGCTGCATTTCTTTTCTGATTTCTAGTTTCTCTGCTGTGCATTGGAATAATACCACGCCCCACTTTTCAGTTTTTTATTTGTTAAAAAAGTTTGACACATGCAATAAATTTCATTCCACGTTACGATTGTGTCCCACTTGTTGTTGATTCTTCACAAAAAATTTTAATTTTATATCTTTATGTTTGAAGCCTGAAATGTGGCAAGAGGTTGAAAATTTCAAGGGGGCCAAATACTTTTGCAAGGCACTGTAAATTCAGTCCATTTACCATGGCTTTTTGGGTTGGATAAATGAGTGAAAACTATAGTACAATAGACTACACCGCTTGCACTGAATATCTTGCTAATGATGATAATTGACAAGATCCATCAGTCTCAGTCAAATCTTTCAAACAATATCTGTCATGACGTAGGCATAGTTTGAGCTGGACTGTGTGTGTGTGTCTCTCCCTCTTTCTCCACCTCCCTCTCTGAATGTTGTTGATCATCCTCTAAGGAAATGTTGCTGCTCTGCTGTGCTCAACTGGTCCTCGTCAGACATCAACCGCCTTAGCAGAAGAAGGCCAGCGGGAATGTCTGCCACAGCCAGATTGTCCATTCACCCAGTGTTAGATGGACACTTAGAGCTCATATGTGTCCATGAGCAAGTCCTGTTTTTTTTCTGTACTATAGATATTCTTACCTGGAGTTTCCAAGAGTGTCAATTATTCAACATGGCAATACTAGCCTGGGTGGACACCTCTTTCCATTGAGCTCACCACTGGTTTTCCATTCTTCACCCACCGACCTTAACTTACCTGCCTACCATCTCTCAGTTTCATAACTTACTGGGGATCATTCTGTAAAACCAGAGCAGCACATTTTCTAACCTATCTCCACTTCCTTGTTTGCTACCTACCCAGTATAGTCCTTCCATTATTCAGTCTCTCACTTGAATAACAACTCATGCTTAATAGGAGTGTAAATGGATATCATGGTGCAATTCCTATGTAGGCAGGTATATGATTTAAGCTTGACACCTTGCATCTTTGTTTGAGACCTTTATTTTGAAGAGAGATAGGAATAAGTTCTTGTGTTCTAAATGCTTAGTTTTTTGTTTCATCGAACAATAGGATGTTTCCAAATAATATCTATTTTACTGAGTGCATTTGAGAACCGTCATCTGTTTTTTATATGATGAGTTTGGAGTGATGGCTTCTTCCTCTCTGAGTGGCCTTTAAGCCCATGTTGGTATAGGTCTCATATGTCTGGGACACAGGTCCCCACTCCTTTCTGAACAGTATGATGGCTAGAAATTCCCATGGTGTTTATACTTGCATATATTTTTTGAACAGATGAATTAGGCACCTTAAGGTATTTTAGCAGGAAGAACAAGACTTTTGGAGGTTCACAATTTTCTTCCTGTTATTTTGGCTAGTTTCTTTTGAGGTTTCCATTATGCCACATTTGAAAGCAGCGTGTTTGAGGTGAGCTTTCATTTGACTTGATAACTGCAAATTGTTTCTTTAAAAATAATTTTTTGTCTTGTCAAATAATAAGAAAAAATAATTTACATTTGTATATATACTTTACTAAATGGTAAATGGCCTGCATTTGTATAGCGCTTTATCAGGTCCCAGGAGACTCCAAAGCGCTTTACACTACTTTCAGTCATTCACCCATTTATTTACACATTCACACAGTTATAGTGGTGAGTTACATAGTAGCCACAGCTGGGACAGACTGACAGAAGTGAGTCTCCTGCCGCCGTAGTGAATCTTATACTTCACTAAAGTAGAAGTATAAGATTGCATGTGCAAACAAAAAAAATAAATAAATATTTCAGCTTGGCCAATGGCAAGGTGCACCTTGTGTAAAGTGCAACTTGGACCTATTTTGTGAAACGTGGTTAACCAATTTAACATCGCCTTGAACCAATTTACTTCAGGTGCACAGATGGTACTTTTTTCTTTGGAAATGTTCCATACTTGAAAGAAATGCTTATTTTCCAAACGTGGTAAAGGACCTTCGAACCCTCTGACATCCACCAGCAGCTGTGGGTCTGTACTGATTCACCAAAACAATAATTTCATGGATATATCTGTGTTTGTACCACACAGAGCAGAAGTACAGGTTGTATTTTGAATTTAAATCACTAATATATGATAGTAGAAGCTGAAAGGGATGAGCTAGTATGTGTGACTGTAATGCTAGCACACCTCAAAATCCAGCAAACATATGGTGATAATAAACTGATATGTAGTTTTTAATTAAAAAAAATGAAATCTGAAACGAGTGGCCTGCATTTGTATTTACTGCCACTGATTTATTACTTTAGGGTATGTTTGCCAGCTTTGTATATCTATAGAACAATTTATATAGCTCAGTCTCACTCATTCTTGACTTTGGGATATTCTAACACATGAATAAAGGTTGATTTAAACCCATCATTGTAGCTCTGGCTGTTTAGTGTTGTCCTGTTGGAAGGTCAGCTTCCATCTCTATCTTTAGTATTTTGCAGCTCCTGGTTTGTTTTTCTAAGATTTCCCTGTATTTAGGTCCATGCATCTTCCATTCAACTCTGAACAGATTCCCTGTCCGTGTTGAAAAAAACTATTCCCACATTACAATGCTGCCACCACCATGTTTCACTATGAGGATGGTGTGCAGTGTTTATTTTCCACCACAAACTGCATTTTCTGTATATGTGAAACAGCTCAATTTAGGACTGATATGTACAAAACATTTTATAGGCAATTGGTTGCACTGTTTTATTTAGTGGTATCTGAATACAAAGGCACACACAGTTATTTTTATTTCTGAAAATATTTGAAAATCATCTATAATTTCTTTCCACTTCACACGCATGCACTGCTTTGTGTTGGTCAATCACAAAAAATCTTAATAAAATAGTTTGTGGTTGTAACATGACAAAATGTGAAATGGTTGAAGGGATATGAGCACTTTTGCGAGGCACTGATTAAACATATCTCTTTATCAGGTTTAAAGGAAAACCAGCAGATAGTGAGAATTACAAATTCTTCAGGACATACCACTCATCACACTGTCATTTTCTCTCTGGGAACGTTTCCTTTTGAAACCCTTCTTTCTGTGAACAGTCAGTCCCATGTGAGGAAATGTAACATTATTTATTAAAAGTCAGTGTTTATCGCTCAGGCCGTCACTTCAGACCCTTGTGACAGTCTGCTTCTGCCAAGTTTTTCAGGGTATAATAACAGCAAAAACACAATGCCTGGAAGACGGATGAGTGGAGAGTTTTATTTCTTTCTTTCATATCTCTGACCTTAAGATAATCCAACCCTGTGGACAGAAACACCCACTGTGCAGCAGTCAGCTTGGCGAGAAGTACTTCTTAATTATCACCCTTGAGCAGTTTGTTTTGAAGGGAATAAACGAAGGGACAAGACTGAATGAAAATAATGTTTTCAATGATTTTTTTTCCAACATTGAAGCCACTGGTGCCAAACAGGAAGCAAAGTAAAGTGAATGGCAGTGACAGGGCAGACTCTGGGTTGTGTTGATTGACACTACAATACTGTCAAATTCCTTTTGATGGGATTAAATTGTCATGACCTCTCAAATATGGAAATTGAGGCACTGATCTGAGGCACCGAAAATGTCAACATTATTAAACTGTTAGACGGGTCAATGCAGCTGAAGACACAGTGCAAAAGTTTTTCTGGTCAATGAGTACAATTTTTTTCTACAATTTTATGAAGATTCTCAACAGTGCCCCAGTGCCTTGTAAAGGTATTACTGCTTCTTAGATCTACACAAAGCAATGCCTAGTTGTACACGCAACTTGTATCATGGATTTTTATTCTGCCGTGTTTCCTTGTAGAACCCTATTTAACAACCAGTAAAATAAATTACCTTCAGAAGTCACAAAATTATTAAAGGGGTATGATAATGTGATGGTTTATATACTGTCTACTCGGAGAAAGAGAAAGAAAAGGTAACAATCATTGACAGGTAATATGCTCACTGTTGGCACTCAGTCAGTACAATCATGAAAAGCTGAGTTGTATGCAGCTGCAGCAGGCCTTGGTGGCAGGTAAGGATGTCAAAATTGACATCATGCAGGCTAAATGTACAGCATAGCAGGCTGAGTGCTATGCATTAGGTCTCATTTATGCACTACAGCAATCAGGTCCTTATGGGAAAGAGAAAGAAAAAAACATTGACAAACATAGGCATAAGAAGTCTTGTAGGGGACACAGCAAACATGTATACAAAAGAGCTCTGGTCAGATGTGACCAAAATTTAGCTGTATGACCTACATGCCACCTGTGACACAAAACAAATATTAACACCTGATCCATGTGGTGAAACAAGGTGGTGACAGCATGATGCTGTGGAGATCCTTTTCGTAGGTAGGGACAGGCAAGCTGGTCAGATCTGATGGAAAGATGGATGGAACAAAGAGAAATTCCTGAAAGAAAACCTTTTAGAGGCTACAAAAGATCTGAGGCTGGGGTGGAAGTTTCCAGCAAGACAGCAACCCTAAATGTACAGCCAGAGATATATTGCACGGTTAGACCAATGGATAGTCATGTGTCACAATGGTCCAATTAATGTCCAGAACTAAACGATACTGAAAATCTGTCACGCGACCTGAAAATTTAGGTTCTAGGACCCTTTCCTTGCAATATGTATAACAATGAGCTATTATAGAAAGAAGATTTACCAAGAATTCCAGTCTTTACCATGAACACACCATCCCCAGCATGAAACATGGTGGGATCTTCATGCTGTGGGGATGCTTTCTTCCCTATTAAAGGGAAGATGGATGGAGTTAAACAAAGGGCTGAGCTTGAGCTATTTTGAAGAAAAGATTGGACAAAAACATCATTCTGTAAATATGAACAACTTGTACACCAAAATTATTTTTCTTCCACTTCACAATTACTCACTTTGTTTTCCTTTAATCCCAGTAAAACACAGAAAAATTATCAGACCTGGAAATTGCCTCT